AAAAGGCTATATACTGTATAATTCCAACTATATGACATTCTGGAAAAGGAAAACTAAGGAGACAGTAAAAAGATCAGTTGTTGCCAGAAGTTAGTGGGGAGAGATGAATAGATGGAGCCTGGAGGATTATAAGGGCAATGTTTTTGTCAGTTTGGGCTGCTGTTATAGAATACTATCAACTGGGGGGCTTAAACAACAGAAATATATTTCTCACAGTCTGGAAGCTAGAGAGTCCAAGATCAAGGTAACAGCAATCCAGGGTCTGAGAAGGGTGCTCTTCCTGGTTTGCAGACAGCCATCCTCACATGGTGGAGAGAGATGATTTCTCTCCTGTCTTTTCTTACGTGGGCACTAATGGCACTCCTGAGGGCTCCACTCTCAAGACCTAATTATCTCTCAAATGCCCCACCTCCAAATATCATTACATTGGGGATTTAGGCTTCAACATATGAATTCTGGGGGACACAAACATTCCTTACACAGCAAGCAGTGAAACTATTCTGTATGATACTATAACGGTAGATACATGTCATTATACATTTGTCAAAACTCACAGGCTGCACAACTACAAGAGTGAACCCTAGTATAAAGTATGGAGTTTGGGAATGATCTGTCAATGTGGGTTGATCAATTATAACAAATGTACTATTCTAGTGTGGGATGTTAATAGTGGGCGAGGTTATGCATGTGTTGGGGCAGGAAATATATAGGAACTCTGTACTTTCTGCTCAATTTTGCTGTAAGCCTAAAATTGTTCTAAAAATAAAGTCTATTTTTTAAAAATTAAAGAATAAAAATTTCATGATATATGCAACACAATCACTCTTTTGTTTACTTATTGTCTGTGATGGCATATTACAGAGTTAAGTAGTTGCAAAGGAGATGGTACAATCCACAAAACCTAAAATATTTACTCTCTGACTCTTTACAGAAAAAAATTTGCCAATTTCTGATGTATAAGATAGCTTCCTGAAACCTGGCTTACTTTATGTAGAAAAATTGAGTTGCGTTCCTATCTCCCACCATATGCAAAGTTGAAGTACAATGGAATTTGATGTGAAGGATAAAACTGAAATGTTAAAGAAAATGCAGAAGAATATTGGTGACTTAAGGGTGGAGAAAGACTTATTTTTAAAAGATCATAAAAGCATAAACTATAAGGATTAATTTTGATTTTACAATTCAAAATTCAGGACAGCCATCCAGGAAAAACACTGTGAACAAAGTTAAGAGATAGATGAAGACTGGAGGAAGATATTTATAATGTTTAAAACTAGCAAGGAATTAATATCTATAATATAATAGAAATACTACTTGCACATGCAAAAAAATTGGATAGGATGTGAAAGTAGGTAAATAAAAGGCATTATTTTCTCTATTTTATTCTGTCCTCCCTCCACATACTCTTCACAATAAATATTATTTTTGTCTGCCTATCCTAAAAATTGTTGCATTCCTACTATTAGCCTGTCTCACATTTTCTAGACTACTTAAAAAAACTTCCCTTTTAACATTGTAAATTAGTGAAACTTTCATGTGAAGGCAACCTGCTAGGGAAATTCAAGACCTCTGGTTTGTAAATTTTAAATGCCATATTATAATACACTATTGAGCAAAAGATTCTTGTGTTATTTGGTTACTGGTTATTACAAATTTGAGTCAGGGTGCAACATTTTTTATACTATGACATATAAAACATAGATGTTTGAAGGGAACAACTCATAGCACAAAACAATGTCCATTACCACCCAGTGAGAAATGAGCTAGGATCTTTATCATAAACAAGTGACTTTTTGAAAGTCAAAAACTTAATGTCTACCATGAGCTAAATTTACTAATTGAGAATGGTTAGATTAGGTGTCTAGAAATCATAGTTCATATCTCTTAGTATGCATGGTATTCAAACTCTTTAGCCATCTGACTCCAATTATTTTCCACTTTCACTCTCCTCCCTTTTTCTCTACCCCCATTCCCACATACTCTTAGTTTAATATTTCTTAGACCCTCGCTGCTTAAAGAGTGGTGCATGGACCAGCAGCATCATCATCTTCTTGTTACAAGTGTGGAACCTCATGTCCCACTAAATCGGTCTACTTTAATAAAATCCCCTAGTGATTCATGTGCATATTAAAGTTTGAGATCCTTGGATCTCCCTTTTACATTGTTCTATAAGAATTTGTTTACTGCTTATTTTTAATTTATTTATTTTGAGATGGGGGTCTTGCTATATTGCCCAGGCTGGAGTGCAGTGGCTATTATTGTGCACTCATTGCACCCTACATCCTCCAACTCCAGGCCTAAAGCGATCATCCTGCCTCTGCCTCCCGAGTATTTATTTTTAAAATGATACTTTTATATCTACTGATAATATATGCATTACCAATTACAGCTATCCAGATACATGTACCTCTTCTTCACTTTGTGAAACTGTTTATAGACTGTTACAGATAGGAAACTGTTTACAGAAACTCCTCCAAACAGAGAAAGCTACAAAAGGGCAGCAACTGTTTACTAATCCTGTCTCTGTTAACGTAGCCATGTGGTTAGAATAAAGGTTTGAGGGACCTGAATAGAAATCTTGGACCTGTTCCCTACTCTGTGGGTAACCTCAAGTAAGTAACTTAAGCCTCTCTAAACCCATTTCCTCATTACAAAAGGGAAAGGATAATATGCAGAATGCTGAACATTCTATAACATATTATATAATATTAATACAAATCAACCTAAGTATCTAGTAGGCCCTCAGGGTTACTTCTGGCCCTTTTGAAGTACAGAGCCTTTGTACACAGTAGATGTACTTAAAAATGCAAATCTTAACTATGAATTTTCTCTTAACTATTTACCGGTAAGCTATTCAGTAGAATTGTCTTGGCTTTAGAAAACACTTATAATGAGAATTTTACTGATACAAATGTATCCTAGTTTACAATCCCCTTCTAAAGAGGCTGTTGCCCTTAGTGGAGGACTAGCATTTTGGAGCTAATAGGTTTGTCTCTTTATGGCAGTATTTCTTTGAATTTAAAAGGCTTTGATAAATTCTTTAGCATAAAAAGTACATAACATTTCTTAAAATATACCTCTAACACTCTCCAGTCAAGCCACAGTCTCCCTTCTTCACCAGAGTCCACATCCTCCCCACAAGAACAAAACTGTAACATTTCTTCTCCTTTTCTTATAAAAAGGAACCTAACTACACCACTGTTCCACCCACCTGCAAGGACTGTGACTACACAGATGAACTCGTCCAAGTCTGTCTGTACCCAGTGACCTCTGATGAAAGGGGCTCAAAGATAAGGCCCTTTTGCCTAATAACCCGTTGGAAGTGACTTTTAAAAAAGGGTCAGTTATGTATGCTTTTATATACATCGTTTTGTCCGACAGCTTTTACCTGGAGACGCATATTAAAATAATTACCTCGCAGAAAATTCGTTGCCCTAGCTAAACCCAGAGAGCTTTTAAACAGTTGCTGATCCAAAGAGCCTGGAACTGAGGACTTTTGCTGCTGCTACCTGGTGAGACTCCTTTTGGAAGAAGCTGTCGGCCATATCCAAATTGCCAAGTCAACATGGCTCAGTCGAACACGGAAATGTCCCCGCGACTCTCATCTCTAAGATTCATGAACGGCGACAGATTGTCTTGTCCCGTTTCCTACACGCGGCTTTCGTGCACCAACAGGGAAGAGCAGCAGCGGCCAGCAGGGCGCTTGGGTTTACCAAGCCAGCTGCTCCGGTAGACCTTCGGCTCTGCGCCCTCCCTCTGCGCCCGCCGCCGCCACGTGGCTACTCCCTCCCAACACAGGAGCCCCCAGAGCTCCCAACGCGAGCGCAGGGCGATTCGTTTTTCTTTTCCTCGCGCGCTCGTCGCACTTTTAACATCTCCGAAACATGACCCTTGCCACTGACTTTCGTGATCGCTCACTTCAGAATAAAGAAAGGCCGGCATGAATGAACCTGTCAGTTCGACGTGAAGTCCTAGAGGAAAAAGACCTTGTCGTTCTCCTCCCAGTGCACACAGTACCCAACACTTCGCTTGGCGCTGTTTCCCGAACCCCTCAAACAGAAATGACTAAAGAAATGGACAAATGAAAGGATGTAGAAAGAAAGAATGATGTAGAAAGGAAAGAATGCCTGGAAGAGTGAAGGAAAGGCTGGAGAAATCAGGAGAGGAGTGAAGAACAGCAGGAGCCGCGGAGGGCAGGGAGCGCCAGGTCTGGCCGCCCGGGGGCGCTGTGCAGCGTGCGTGGGCCGCCTGGCCGCAGCGCTCCACCGCCGGCTTCCCTTCTTAAGGCGCTTCTCCCCCAGACCGGCCTCCAGGCGGACAGTCCGGAGCCGGAGCCGGCTGGGCGGCAGCGGGGGGCACCTGCGACAAAAGCGCAGCAGCCGCGGCCCGGCGCCCGGGGCCCAGACAGGTGTGGCAGTCCCATCTTCGGCGTCCTTCTCCTGCCGCTCCAGGCTGCGCCGTGCCTCGCGGCGTGGAGACCCTCGACCTGCTGGTGTGGAACCGCGCCTCAGGCTTGTCCTGGAGGCCCCGCTACAGGTCAGTGCTCCCGGGCGCCCCGTGGCTCGCCCCTTCCCTCCCCTCCATTCCACCGTCCCAGCCCAGGGGCCCCACCGCCCCCCGTCCCGGGACTGCTTCCTCCTCGGCCACCCTCGCGCTCCACCTTGGCTCCATCTGCCGCCACTGCGCCCCCGCTGGTCTCCTGGGGCTGGAGAGGCGGGCTCGCTGACACGTGGGCAAAGTCCCCGGGGCCAGCAAGTTGAGCAGCACCCTCCCAGGTGGGAGGCGGGCCGGGGCGGGGCGGGAACGCCTGGCCACGCGCCGCATCCTGCCCGGCGCGCACAGAGCCGCCTTTCAGCCCCGGGCTGGGCCCGCCGCCGACCCGCCGCGCCTGCTCTCGGCCGGGATCTGCGCGCACCGGGCGGCCGGCAGAAGGGTAAGAGAACGGGACCCCACCTTGAAGGGCTCCAGCTTCAGGGGACGCGTTCCGGCGAGGCTGAAATGAGTGTGCGGTGAATGGTTTTTCCTGCTCCGAATCCCGAGAGCCGTGGACAGTTTGAAGGAGGAGGCATGGCTCGGCAGCCTTACCGTTTTCCTCAGGCAAGGAGCCCAGAGAGAGGATCAGGTGTTTTCAGGTTAACTGTCAGGTGAGGCGTCTGGGCTGCATCTTTCGGGATTCCAGACTCTGGAGAAATCCTCATAAAGTCGATGGCTTTACTGTTCTAGACTAGAGTTTTCTTGCTGTCTTAGGATTTCTTGTATTAACTGCTTGCAGTTAAATAAGTCTGGGCTTTGCCTTCCGGAACAAACAGGCCTTTTACTCAGGTGGGAGGGTTATGGTGTGGTTAACCCCAGTTCCTCTGCCTTTATGAAAGGGCGCATAGTGCAGCCGGGTGGCGCTGCCAAGGGGCCCGTCCTGCGTGGTCAAAGCTCCAGCTACCCAGAGCACAGTTGGGCCGAGGTGGGGAGTACGAACAGGCCATGGCTTCCCCCTTCTCTACTCTCAAAGCAAATATAGTGGTGGGCTGTTAAACTGTCTTAAAATAGTATTAAGACCTTGCTTTCCCTGCATGGTGCTCTCAATAGTATACATGAACTTAAAGCTAGCAAGGAGAGCCAGAATTCAAGAGGAGAATTTACCTAATTTTTGGTGGCTGCCCAGATTAAGTATTTAATTGCCTGCAAGTGGGAATATATTTTTTAGACTTGGAAAATTTTTGAATTAGAAAACGTAACTTTCTTGCAAGCTCCCATTGTCAAAGGACACAGACTTGGGGGTGCACACAAATAGTTTTGAAGGTGTTCAGATTTGAAATACATATATATTTACACATATGTCTGGTTGTACAGTACTGGTGGGAAACTGAAGGTTGTGTGTCATTGTCAACTGAGAATGGAAGAAAGGGTTATTAAGAGAGAGATGGGAAAAGTTGTCCGTGGATGTCAGGAGGCAGATTCTGATATTTTATGGGTAAGGAACCAACTTCATAGTTCTCCCCAGAGGTTGAATGTGGACTTCACACTGAGGAACTGCTCACCGCCTCTGTGATGTGCTAACCAAAACAGCACAAGTTTTGGGAAACTCGATAACTTCTTCCTATTGAGTCAGAGTCTCTTGAGATTTAGCTTATCTTCCTGTTCATACCTGAAGAGGAGTCAAATTCTCCTTGACGGGAACTTTCCACAGACACACCCTGGTCCTTTAGCAAACCTCCCATAAACCAGGTTCTGTGGCCAGGACCCTTTAAAAACAGGCACATTTTCCCTGCTTTCCTTGACTACTCCCATATAGAGACCATAAAAATAATGCCAATTTTATTTAATTGCCTGTCCAAAAAAAACCCAAAAAACGGGAAATGCTGATAAAGTGTTTGAGGTAGTCACATTCTTTTCTCCCAAGGAGGAGCATATCAAAAGTTGTTTTTAGGAATAACATAAAAAATATAAAATACCCTAGTGTAGCAAGTAAGAAGAGTAGGGAGATAAATTTTGATCAGAGTAGCAGAGAACACAGAACTGAAAGTCAGAAATGATCATATTCATAAACTGATCGTTTTGGTTAGGTTTCTGTTGGTGAAGTGAAACCCAGAATAAGACAGTTCTTAAAACTTAGTGGAAAAAGAGGTAGCTTCTTGTGGCTACAGTTTTCAAAGTAAAAATAATGGCTAAAGAAAATTCTTTTGGCTTTAAAAGTGGACTCTCTCCTGAAGATGAGCTGTTCTCTTTAGCCAAGGCCTAAGTATTAAGTTCCATGTGTCAGTTCTAAAGAAATAAACCAGTCTTTAGTGAGCTCTTGCATCACATGTTAAGGGGTTCACAGAAAAATTATAGGTATACCTTGTTTTATTGTACTTCACTCTATTTCACTTCACAGATACTGGTTTTTTACAAACTGAAGGTTTGTGGCAACCCTGCATCAAATAAGCCTATCAGCACCATTTTTCCAACAGCATGTACTCACTTTGTGTCTCTGTGTCACACATTGGTTAATTCTTGTGATAGTCTAAACTTCATTATATCTGTTATGGTGATGTGATCAGTGATCTTTGATGTTAGCTATCGTAATTGTTTTTGGGTGCCATGAACCTCGCCCATATAAGATGGTGAACTTAATAAATGTGATGTGTATTCTGACTACTCCACCCATCAGCCATTCCCCTGTCTCTCTTACTCTCCTTGGGCCTCCCTATTCCCTGAGACCAACAATATTGAAATTAGGCTGGTTAATAACCCTACAGTGGCTTCTGATGGTTCAAGTGAAAGGAAGAGTCACACATCTCTCACTTTAAATCAAAAGCTAGAAATTAAGCTTAGTGAGGAGGGCATGTCAAAAGCTGAGACAGGCCAAAAGGTAGGCCTCTTGTGCCAAACAGTTAGCCAAGATGTGAATGCAAAGGAAGGGGGAAAGTTTGAGTGATCTGGGTAGAAGATCAAACCAGCCATAACATTCCTTCCAGCCAAAGCCTAATCCAGAGCAAGGCCCTAACTCTCTGCAATTTTGTGAAAGCTGAAAGAGGTGAGGAAGCTGCAGAAGAAGAGTTTGAAGCTAGCAAAGGTTGGTTCATGAAATTAAAGAAGTCCTCTCTGTAACATAAAAGTGCAAGGTGAAGCAGCAAGTATTGATGTGAAAGCTGTAGCAGGTGATCCAGAAGATCTACCTGAGATAACTGATGAAGGTGGCTACACTAAACAACAGATCTTCAATGTAGACAAAACAGCCTTTTGTTGGAAGAAAATGCTATCTGGAAGTTTCATAGCCAGAGAGGAGAAATCAATGCCTGGCTTCAGAGGACAGGCTGACTCTCTTGTTAGGGATTAATGCAGCTTGTGATTTAAGTTGCAACCAACGCTTATTCATGGCCCAGATAGTTGATTCCTCACTGTTTTCAAAAGGAGTGTGGTTTGTTCAGAACAAGCACTTAAAAAATTTGCAGCCCTAGTTCTGCTTTCCTGGTGGCGTGAGGTAGCCAAATGGTGATCACAGATGATTTTATAGGAACTTGGTGGCATGGTTGTTTTTAGGGAAATTCCTGCAAGTTTAGCATGTTCATCTTTTAGGGGTGGTATGAAAACAGAAAATGGAAAATGAAAAGCCCCTGTGGCCTTCCTTCAGGGTGCTTCTTAGGATCAAAATGACCACATCATTTATGTTCGGAGAGCTGTGCTGAGAAGGTAACCAAAGTTTTCTTCTTGGCCTCCCCCCGCCCCAACTTCCATTAACTGTGGTCTGACTACCCCAGAGCCTCATCTGACTGGACTTTTTTTTTCTTTCTCTAGTCTCTTGTGAGACTAATTGATAATGAGAAAATTACTTCATAGTAGGAATTGGAGTGAGTGAAAAAATTATGTGGAAGTAGTTAATATTGGTCCAAAGTTTCTATCTGCTGAACTGCCCCCTGACATTCATCCTGGGCCCAACTTGGTTGTTATGGCAGAAACATTGACTGATAGTCTCTGTACTTACCTCCTCCACCCCACCCATCACACACAAACTAAGGGCACTGATTATCTGATACATATTAGACTCTTTCTTTTTGAAATAGCTTATTTAACTCATAATGATGAATCAAGGATGCACACATGTTCATCACCCAAAGTGAAGAAAATGTGGAAAACTTGAAGAAAATTAAGGTTACCTATAGTACTGTGTCACAGAGATTAACAAAATGAAGTGAGTGTCTCTGTGTGGGTATGTGTGTTTTGGCAGGTTTATGCACTTCTATAGTTTTAAAAATATCTACATACATATATAAATGCTGACACTTTTTGAAAAGTAGGATCTCAATACATCTATTTTGTACCTTAAAAAAAATTTACCAGTATGTTATGGACATCTTAAAGTCAGGACAAAGTTACAAATAGAGCTGCAATTAACATTTTTGTAACTATCTTTCTGACTGGCTATTATTTTTAAATTTGTAGTATAAACCTGTAGAAGTTTGATTCTTGGATCACAGATACTCTTATAGGTACTGACCAAGTGTTCTTCAAAGTTTACATTTCCTATAATACTTGCTAAATAAAAATTAAGATAGACTTTTACCAATCTGATTATTGGTGAATTTTTGTTGTTAAATGTTCACTGGCTTGTTCAGATCCTTATTATATTGGATTATCTTTTTCTTATTAGTCGTGTGGAGCTCTCTGCAGGTAACAGTTAACTTTTGCCTGTTTAAATATGTTGCAGATATTTCTTCAAATTTTTTAACTTTTCGAAGTCTTAAATTTTTGTGTTAAGATCTGTCAGTTATTTTCGTGTCTTCTGAATTTCGTTGTACTTAAAAGGCATGTTAAATTATTTAAAAAATTCCGTATCTTATACTGCCATCAATTTTATTCTTTTAATATGTCTAAATTTTATTTTTGCATTTGGTTTGAGGGAGGACTCTAACTTTCTTTCTCCCAAACAGATAGCAAATTATGATAATAACAACCCATTGAATAGTTCATTCTTTGGAAAGACTTTGGGAATAATGAATAAAACAAAATAGGGTTTCTTTCAGCAAACGAGGCAACTAAATTACCTAAAACCTTCTAATGTATTTTGGCTAAGCAAGACTTTTCAATATGTTTTTAATTCAGTTTTTCATATCAATATTTTATACTTTCTATTATCATTATATTATTAATATTGTTGTTATTATTTTCTCTTAAGAGGTACTAACCAAGGCAAAGTTCATGTAGTCAGGGTTGTTGTCTCATTTGTTGACTCCACAGTGCTTAAATAGGTCTACATAAACTAAACCATAAGTGGTGGGAATATACTGAAAGCCAGTGGGGTGCCATCAGCTCCCTACTTTGGGGAACTTGCCCCGTTCCCCCAGGATGCCCCACATACCTAAGAGCATCTGACGCTCTTACCAAGGGAGGGCAGCTTAGGTGTGATGGATAATAATCTGTGTATTAAATTTGGGGAAATCTTAATTTCTCTCTTTTCTAGGTTGATGCATTTAGAAGCCCTAACCCTTTCTTCTCACATACTGGTGAATGGTCTTGCGTACCGGCATGTCAAAGGACTCCACTTTGGTACTGCAGTAGGGGAAAAAGACAAGTTCTGTCCTCTTGTCAAGTAGGGTAAGGACCACGCAAGCCAAAGGCAATAGCAGTCTGGGTTGTTAGTGTATTTGCTGACAAAGTATCCTCACTG